GCTGGAGCTGCCCATACACTAAAGTCAAGGGGATTAAGCCATTAGTTGCTCACCTTGAGGTGATTGGAGCGAGAGCCTATGTGCTTAATGAGAAGCTGCCACGCAGAGCCAAGCTCGAATCTCGAGCTCTTATCAGCCACCTGGTAGGCTTCGACTCTACCAATATCTTCTGAGTGTGGTTGCCATCCATTGGACGAGTGATACGAACCCAAGATGTTGTCTTCATTTGAGGCAAGCTCTGTGACGGCAAAGGCCAGTACGCAGAGAAGAGCTACGTTCGAGAGGCAGCAGAAGTGCTCGATATTAACAAGACGCTTGATTACAGCAATATATTGACAGAACAGCTGTTCTCTTGTGAGAACAAGGACAACGCTGAGGGTATCGGAGATACGGTTCATGTTCAACTACCGAATTATCAGCAGAGCCGTACTCAGCAGAAGAACACCACAGCGCTCATGACTCCAGAAGCGACACCAGATTTGCCCGAGCCGATCGAGCTCACAGGCGAGTCGCTCACTGATCAGGCGATGGATGATACTGGCTGGGGACGCGGATATGCTCTAGCTCGAGAAGGAGAAGAGCCAGACCGAACGTCCAACAACGCTGCACGACGAGGAGAGATTAGCAGCCAGGTATCAGAGCAGTTTATTATGAAGGGCAAGCGAATTCGCAAGCCAGCGACGTTTGGCACCTATCTAGCGACATTTGCAGCCTGTATCAACCCTACAGCAGCAGGAAAGCTACTCAGCGAAGCGCCGAAAACCCGACTCCATCGTGACCAGCTGCCGGCTGAGCCAAAGAGATGGAAGGACCTAGATCAGCATCCATTTGGAGCTGAATTCAAGAAGGCAAGCCGCAAAGAGATTGATTGCTTTATCCAGAGGAGCTGTTTTGGACAAGCAGTGAGAGCGTCTGATTTAATAGACGCTGAGATACTGCCATTGATGTGGGTATTCACGTACAAATTCGACGAGGATGGATATCTCTACAAGTTCAAGGCGAGACTAGTAGTGAGGGGAGACCTGCAGCAGGATTACGGCGATACGTACGCGGCGACACTAGCTGCGAAGATATTCCAATGTTTGATCGCCCTGGCAGCTGCTTTTAACCTTGAGCTGTACCAGTACGACGTCCTGAACGCCTTTCTCAACGCAGAACTTGACCAACCTACCTACGTACAATGTCCAGAAGGATATAAGAGCGAGCTTGGCCAACTGCTTAAGATTAAACGAGCTCTATACGGACTTCGAGATGCTCCGCGACTATGGTACAAGCACCTCACTGCTACGCTTGAGAATCTAGGCCTTCAGCAGGTGCCAGGAGTGCCCTGTCTGTTCAGCAATGATTACTTAATTGTCTTCTTCTTTGTAGACGATATAGTCATAGCTGTAGCTTCTGAGAACAAGGACACCTACCGCCGATTCGATCAACAGCTGCGAGCTGCATACGACATGCGATTTCTGGGAGAGCTGAAATGGTTCCTCGGCATACGCGTGATCCGAGATCGCAGCCAGAAGAAGATCTGGCTAATGCAAGACAGCTTTATCGAAAAGGTAGCAGCTAAATACAACATTGCTCAAGAGAGCACAAAGTATCCAGCAGTACCGCTAGTAGATGGAAATATCGGCCTAAGCAAGGAGGAGCCGGACGAACAGCGCACAAAGCTATATCAGGAGTTAGTTGGATCACTAGCCTACATCGCGACATACACTCGGCCTGATGTTGCGCAAGCCCACTCCAAATTATCTCGATATCTACAGAATCCAGGTCAAAAGCATGTCAGCGCAGCGTACCACGTCTAGAAGTACTTGATCGGCCAGAAGCATTTGGCGATCAGTGCACATGGAGATCAGAGCAGTCGCACGATATACACAGGCTCAAGCCTGGGGGGTGCTGGAACAGAGCCAATATTCTACGGTGCCTCTGATGCAGCCTTTGCGGACGACCTGCCGACGCGGCGCAGCTCTCAGGGATATCTTTTCATGATGTACGGTATGCCTATCGACTGGAAGGCGACACTCCAACGTTCCGTCACGAAATCGACCACCGAGGCAGAGCTGCTAGCTCTGTCGACAGCAGCCAGCGAGCTGCAGGCATGGAATCGACTGTTCAAGCACATCAAGCTCGACCTAGAGATGGTACCAACGATCTTCTGCGACAACCTGCAGACAGTAGGAGTTGTTACTAAGCACGAGGACAAGCTATTCACGCGTTTGCGTCATGTGGACGTCCACCAACATTGGCTTAGGCAGGAGGTGGCAGCTGGACGCATATCAGTTCAGTAGAAGCCAACCAACCTTATGCCAGCTGATGGACTTACCAAGATCCTTGTACGCTAGAAGCATGCTGAATTCGTCCAACAGCTTGGATTAAAAGACGTTGAGAACCACCTACTAGAGCCTAAAGGACATGATAACCCTGATTTGGCGAGCTTGACTCACTAGTATTAGGACAGTATTGGGCATGGTTATAGGGCAACAATCATGGATATAATATAGAACAGGAATAAGGGAGATTAGCTTTGGTTGGCACCTCAGCTGAGGGGGTGTGTAACCACGCGGGTGAAGTCACATGATATCTTGTTGTAGAAGGTACTGCCCAGTGGGCAAGTGCACTTACCTCAGAGCTGAGAGCTCCGTACACAATCATCACAACACGACAACAGATAGCAATACAATTGTTGATCCCAGCCTCCACCCGACACTGCACCAGGCAGTTACACGATCCTACCACTCATAATCTGGCCGGCGAAGAGCCACCGGAGCAACTGGACTACTTACCCAACCCCTGGATGGCATTATGCATTCTCTGAGAACGGATATAACGACTCTAAGATCAGCCTTGAATGGCTTAAGCTTGTTTTTGATCCCCAGACTAAGGACAGAGCGAACGGAAAACCCCGTGGAATTCTGGAATCCCTGGGCCATGGGACGCATCCCGGGACGGTTTTGCACTTCTGACCGTCGGATTGTCCCTTCCGAAAGTTTATAAAGCTGTAATTAATACATAGGGTAGTACAAACAGCAAATTTGCATTCCCTATCGCTAGAAGCTAATTTGACATCAGAGCGTGAATGCAGGGAGGTCCGTCGGACTGAGTAGACAATGCAGCAAAGCCTCCTGCTTTCACGAGGGGCTCTAACCGTTTTAAGTTGCTGACATAATGCTGTTCTGATTGCCCGCCCTATTTCCATCCTATTCCTATCTCCAACATTCAAAAATAAGTGTGGGACTTTGTGCGCCTCGAGCTCTATCTTGGAATGTTTTCTCACAATGTCTCCAGGTGACCAGGCGGTCGCATGAAACTCAAATGGTCGTAATACCTCCTCATAAACGTTGACTTGTCGTTGTGTCAACATTGTTTACGTGATGTTCGATTTCCGCCCGTCGAGTAGCCTTTTGCGTCAAATACGATCTTAGCCCTTCATCTGTAGATTCCGGAATAGGCCAGGAGAGATACGTGAAGCCTTTCAATCCCAAATCGCATATCTGCTTCACTAAGGTCCATTTTTCATACGGCTGATTTTTGAACTCCTTGGCGTCTTTGGTCGGAATGTGAGCGGTATCGATCATCTCCAGAAACTCTAATCTTGGACAGGCTTCTGCGAGTTCACGGATTGAAGTTGACAGTTCAGGTCCGTAGGAAAGCTCGAACCGCAGACTCCAGCGTTTGAAATCTCGTTTGGTTTCTTCACTGTGTGGTCCATTGCTCTTCAGCCAATTGAACGTAACGCTTTTGATAAACTCAGCAGTCTTTTGTAAACTCGTGAGGAATATGTGTAGGTCGAACCGACTATCGAAGACGAAGTGGGTCTGGCCGTAAAAAACAGCACGAGCTTCTTTCGAGACAAGACGCGAGGTGTAAAACAGGCCGAACGCGTAAGCCTTGAAATTAGCTGGTTCGGCAATATATCCCATCCTAGATTGAAGTCGACATCTTGGATCTTTGCACGCAACACTGTTGGTGAAAGGGCATCGTTCTTGAAACATCCTCGAGGGTTGGTTGTATCGAAATCGCATGGTAGGTAGATTGGGAAGATTTTTTCGCCATATCCAATGCTCGCGATGATCAGAGAGTAGTGCGAACTCATATATTGTTGTGCGTAACTCGGCGGGGAGTGCCGCGAAGTCGAAGGGGTGCGAATCGCCTGTGGGCATCTTCGATCATGGATATATTTCTGCTTCGAGAACTTGTTTGATTGAGATATTTGCGAAACAATGGGGATGTGCAAAGGTATGTACGTTTGAGATACTTGATCTGTCGCAGTGAGTGCAAGCAGTGCGCAAGGAATTGAGGATTGAACTGAGGTTGTATTGTGTGAAGCTACGAACGGTATATCTACATAGGTGGCTGTAAACAGCGCTAGTGCAAAACAGGGAGTCGCCTCTCACCAAAGGTAAGGCGTGGGTTGCCTATGAGGCAAGAGACACGCAAACTGTGACACACCCCCTAGCTGCTGTAGGCTTAACGGCAGGGAGTTAACAACAGCTAATTAGTGTTAATTTAGTAGGTAATAGATAGCATTAATGTCATTGTTGTTAGCCTAACGTAGGCCCTTTAGGCGCTTAGTAATGTTAACAAGACTAAGTTAGTGGATAAACTTAGCAAACTTCTGCTTAGGTAGAATCTTTGTAAGTCTATTAGCAGGCATGTAATTAGTAGGTACCTATTTAACATTAATACGTGAGGCAGTGACCTCCTGTTAGATCTAGAGCTAATAGATATTAACGTGTTTAACTTTTGTGTGAAGCTTGTTGTGCTCCTTTATAACAATATAGACAGTCTGCTAGTTGTTGCACTAGATTATAGGTATACAGTTAAGCGTGAGGTTAATGCTAGCAAAGAAACGCATCCACTCTTCTATCTGCAAGGCTGCAAGGGAGAGCAAGAGCAATTCAGACTCTGTAGTTAATTTTGTGACTGTGCGCTAGACAGTTAATTTCTAGTTAATTATAAGTCCTCTAAATTTAAAGGCGTATCCCTAAGAGCTCTGGTAAGTCTCAGGCTTGTCAGCGTACAAGGCATTGGATAATCTAAAGAAGAGAGGATCGTGGTATGTAGGATTGTTAGTGAGATACTCGGCCATGTCGTGCGCGCTGGCAGAGGCTTCAAGGGCGAGAGCCTTCGTGCTGAGCAGGTAGCGCTAGGTCTGGCGGATCTTTGAGATGTGAGACTGTCCTGGGTTAATGAGGTGGCAGGCAAAGACAACGTGCGTTTGGGCAACGTTAGGTCTACCCCAGACAGCGATGTATGCAAGAGAACTAACAAGCTGCTGGTAGAGCTTTGTACGAGCAGTATCAGTCTCCTCAGTAGACTGTGGCAGCCAGTTCTCCGTCAGTGGGACGTCTGGAGCCTTGCCCACAGCCTTAATGCTGAATTAAGCGCACACCTTGTTAATGAAAGCGTCTTAGACTAGCTAGGTCTTGTGCAGAGCTTAGTCGCAGACAATGCAGATACTAAGAAACTAGGTAAGGTCTCCTATTGCTTTAATGTTGTATAGGTCTACTAGATCCTTCTTAAAGGACTGGTGGTGATAGGCGTTTAATTGATGAAACGCCATAACAATGTCGTTAACGTAGACAAATATAATAAGCCAGCAGCTTGTATATAGGCATGGGAAGCTGTTAACTGGCTTTAGGCCTAGTTTTACAAGCTGTTGACGTAGCTCATTGTACTATAGGATTGGTGACTCCTTCAGGCCGTACAGGGCGCGGAGCACCAGCATGATCTCGCCTTTGGTATGGCGGAAGGCCTCAGGCGTTTCAGCGTATAGCTTGCGGTTGGTTTTTGCGTTCAAGAAGGCAGTAGGGACGTTGTACTGCTTTAGTTCAAGATTAAAGTAATTAGCGATTGCAATAAGAGCGCAAAAGTTGTAGATAGCAAGTGTAGCAGCGTATGTGTTGTCTATTAGAGCTTAGAGGTCTCCTTAGACAACAAGTCAAGCCTTAAACCATAAGAGATATCCATCTTCATCTGTCTTGTAAGTAAAGACCCACATTAGCAGCAGTACCTTACTATCTGCAGTGGCCTTTAATTGCTCTGTCTGTCTAAAGACGCCTTTGGCGCGTAGATCTTGCCATTTAATCTCCATAGCATGTTGGAATTGATTGCTAAACATGTGTGTATCAAGACAGTTTTCTGACTTTGGCAGAGGCAGCAGCTGTGACTAATAGATTTATAGTACTTTATCTGCGCTGGCTGAGGCTCTGTCAGAGAGGATCTTGGTTAAGAACGCTTGCAGGTAATTGACGAGAGGCTTAGGTCCCATCCTCACTGCGTAGATCTGTACTGCAAAGTTGTTCAGATCCCTTAGCTTTTAATTGCGCTTGCCTAAGACAATCAGGTTTGTGTTAGTTAGATCAAGATTAACGTCCTGTGGCGCTTTCTCACCTTGTTGGCGGTAGCCCTTAGGAACTATGTGTATTGTGTCCTCCTCAGGTAATGTAGAGGTTAGCAGTGTGTCGTCAGATTCGAGTGCGTCGTCAGCCATCTCACCCCCCAACTAGGAGCCTCCAGCTGTTGGAGCTGAGGTCACAGGTGTTGTTTGGTGGCTGCGTTGGCGCGCGGTCAGCAGGTCGTCGATGCTGACATCATCATCCTGCGGCATCTCTGGATATTCAAGTAGCTCGATCACCTCCTTGATCACTGGTGTAGAGGCGTAGCCATCCATTCTATCAAAGAATAGCGTAGGTTTAAATACGACGTCGCGTGTGACGATAACAGTGTCTTTTGTAGGCAGCCATATGCGGAAGATATTAGTGCCTTGGTAGCCAACAAGGTGGCCGATGAGAGTACGCGATTCAAGCTTGTTGGCAGCTCTCAGGTCGCGGTTGTAGACATAGGCGCGACAGCCAATAGGCCTCATATGAGCGACAAGTGGCTTTTGTCCCCATACAACCTTGTACGGCGTCTTCCAGCCTAGTGCTTCAGTTGGCGTACGATTGAGGATGTACGCGGCGGTGCGATACATCTCCTGTGATAGGTTCTTGGGCAGGTTGGCGTGTATGCGCATAGCGCGAGCTCGCTGCGTAAGGACTCCGCCTGCGCGTTCAATAAGCCCATTTGGTTCCTTTGTGCCAGCTGGGGCTGGCTTGTATAGCATGCCCAGCTCTTCTGTAGTGTTGATAAGATTGTTACTAAATCCTTTCTTGTTGTTGCATTGGATGGCGACTACGTCCGCGTTGTACACACGTTGGATTCGACAGATCAAGGCCATGAACCAACGAGTAAGTGTTGGCTTGTCCTTTCGCTTGATTGTGGCGATCTCATGCCACTTCAAGTACTTGTCTATAGAGTGTAGGGCGTACTTGCTGCTGTTGATACACTCCTCTCCCACAGGGATGATGTAGATTAAGTCTATTGCAATTTGAAAGAACAGTTGTTGTGCGCAGCTCTTAGCTGGGCGTCTTAAGATAATGTGAGTCATTTGAGCTTTAGTGCAGGTCTAGCAGAGACAGTCTATGTGGTCTCCTGTCAGTTGGACGCTAGTAACGTTTAATTCAAGCTGGTTGACTGCCTTTCGACCTAGGTGGCCCTAAATTTGATGAGCAGCGCGTTAATCAACGACGTTGGCAGGCTTTGGCGCGTACGATGGGCGATATGATGCCCCAAACGTACTCAGCGGTGTGTTGAGAAGCAACAGCGGTGGTCGGCGTGATGGCTCAGCATCAATCAGCCAGTGTCCTCCATTGTATTCGAGTTGTGCGATAACGTTCGATGTCTGTTGCATGTAGAGGACGTCGCGGCTAGAGTTGAAGTGGATTGACTCTGTACGGCAGCGTGCGAGTCCTAAGACGCTTGTAAGGAAGCCTTTGACGTACGCGACGTGCGTTAGCTCCAGCTTTAGCTGTCCATGTGGTGTACAGACGACAAGTTCCATCGTTCCCCACGCGGTGATGAGGATACAGGTATTGCCAGCGTTGATAGAACGACGTTGTGGATTGTCACTTGTCCTCCTCCAGCCCTTCTATGCCTCTGTGTTGACAACGTGCGTATTAGATCCTAGATCAACAATCTATTGATTGCGTAATTTAGTCTGAGTGATTTCATCAACAGCTATTGTTATAAGAGATCCTGTAGGCTCAGTGTAAGTGTTAATAGCAATAACAACCTCCTTATTGTGGTTAACTTGATTGTGCCTGTTGTGACTGTTGTGGTGGTTGTGGCTGTTGTAGCTGTTGTGCAGAGGCTTAAGCAATGGGCCAGTTGATATCACAAACGTTTTAGTGTTGACAGGTGGCTTGCTGTCATTAACTCGCAGTGATCTAGTGTTCTGAGGTTAGCAGGTTAACCATCTTGCAAGAGCAGTCTTGATGCGCGTGTTAATCTTAGAGTCCTTCCGCGCTTCCTCTACCTTGCGTACGGCCTCAGCTGCAGGCTGATAGGTCTTCGGACGTGCCAGGTGGCGTGGATTCAGGATGAAGCAGTCAGTGTACCAATGCTGCTTCCCACATACGCAGGTAGGAATTGATCGTGCACCGTCACGGCGACCGCGACCAGTCGATTGAGTCTCAGTCGGCTTCGTGATTCCGAGCTCAGCAGCAGAGACTGCCAGGCCTGTAGATTGAGGCTTCGTGCGGCGTAGGTATGTGGTCATCTCAGCGACGTATGTCTCAAGAGATGAGATCTCTGCAGTAGTGCCACGCGCTTCATGTTTGAAGATCTCGCGTAGGCAGGACGTAGCATATTCCTGATCCAGAGCCTTGCAGGCGATCAGAAAGTCCTCTTGCGGTCGGTTGCCGTCAGTTTCCAGCAGCGTGATTGATTTGCCTTGGGCGGTGATGTATACCCAGTCAGTGAGCCATTGCTTGATCTTCTTTGCAGCTCGTGGAGCAGTCTTGAGAGTGTTGTACTTGTCAGCAAGCTCGCGGCGGCGAGTTGCGTTGGTTGGACAAAGGAACTTCTTAAGAGCGACCAGTTGGTCGTAGGGTGTCTTGTGATCCTTGATTAGGTGGATGTGGCGTACAGCAATTGTCTTGCTGATGTCTGTGTTCAGGTCGGCTAAGGCCTTCTTCTGGGTGCGGTACTCAGAGCGGCGGCGCTCCTATCAATCACATTCCCATTAGTAAGACTCTTAGTCGTCTGCAGTCAGGTCAGAGAGCCTAGTAGCTCTAGCCTGGTAGTCGATAAGTTGAGGCTTAGTAGCCTCCGTCAGCTCAGGGAGAAGCTCCCTAGCTACGTCAGGATTAATATACTGCCAGAGACTGTAGCAGTTAGCAACGTCTTGGCGAATGAACAACTAGGTAAACCAGTTGTCAGGTGTGTTGAGTATAACAGTGACACGCGTCACTGCGGGATCAGACTCAGCAGCCATTGCAGAGGCTGTAGTCGTGTATGAATAGATCCAGGCAGAGATCCAGGCAATGTGCGTTGTGGGTGGACGCAGTAATAGGTGCGCTGTGGTAGACGTGGTATAGCAACGTGTGACTCAAGTAGAGTGACGATTGCAGCAGCAGGTGAGAACAATCCTAGGTTGCAGCTAGGCTCATAACTGTCGCAGTGAGTGCAAGCAGTGCGCAAGGAATTAAGGATTAAACTAAGGTTGTATTGTGTGAAGCTACGAACGGTATATCTACATAGGTGGCTGTAAACAGCGCTAGTGCAAAACAGGGAGTCGCCTCTCACCAAAGGTGAGGCGCGGGTTGCCTATGAGGCAAGAGACACGCAAACCGTGACAGATTTTTAGATCAAAGACAATTTAATATACAACTACTGAGAAGGGATGAGTGCGTTGGTAGGCGGGATCGCGAACTGCGTTAAGTAATCGCATGGTGGACGAGCGTCGCAACCTGCGACGGCTTATAGGCTGTCAGCGCTGTGGTTTCTATTATACCCTACGAGCGTTCCGTGTCGCGCCTGAACAAGACGTCTGTGATATAGCATCTCAAAGGCGTCGTGAGGCTTTAGGCGCCCGTGGAAGAAATCCGGACAACCCAACCTGCAAGCGTTCCATCAATCGTGAGGCCGACAGTACTCAACCTCAGTGCCGCTGTTGATCACCCTTGTTTGCAAAGATCTACCTCGCCATACGTCATGAATTGACCGACTCAGTCAACTTGCGCTAATCCATATCAAGTCAAGCGTCCAGTTGGCAGTTCAATGCAGTATGATCCGTTGTCGTCTATATTACTAAGTGTGCCTTGACATTATGCCGAGGTGCGGCGTGAGCCGTGCGCCTAGCGTGATGGGGATACAGTAAAGGTAAAGATTTCAAAGAAAGCATTACTAGCACGTGAAGATGACCGCCAGGTGTCTCCATCCAGACTACCAGCGCTTATCCCGCCCACAGCGCTTATTAGTTGACGAGGCAGCTCACTTGAATTCATAGCATACTTGACCACAGCTTTAGTCCTGTGGATATTCGCTCAATACATCGACCCCTTTAAGAAATGCATCATTGCGTCACGTTCCCACTCGGAGATCTACACTTCTTTCTACTGCCTTGTTTTGCGGAGTCTCTAGAAACTCCCATACCTCAATTTGCCCTTCCAGTCTCGCGACATCCGCCGCAGTATGTCCGCCGTTGTTCTTGATGTGCACATTCGCATTCCACGATACTAGAAGCTGTACCACGTCGAGATATCCGTAGCTCGCAGCCCATATTAATGCCGTACGGCCGTAACCATCCTAGCGGTCGATTTGCACACGACGAGTGGAGAGAAGTGCTTCCACCGTCGCAGGGGACCGGATGAAGAGTGACCACAGTAACGGCGTCCAGACATCGATATCCACATCGTCCACGCCACTACAACTGTACTTGAGTAATGTGCGCAGCGTGTCCGTATGTCCGCCTTGACAAGCCCAGGAGATTGCATTGCGCAAGTCTTTATCTTTGGTGCTCTTGTCAACACCCGCTCTATGCATCAGAGTACTGACCACTTCTCTTTGACCATTACCCGCAGCCCACGACAGCGGAGAGCGACCCTGAGCGTCTTTGAGGTTGAGGTCAACAGAAGGGTGTTTGAGCAGGACCTTCAAAGCTCGCTGGGCGCCCTCCCCTGCAGCCCAGGATAGTATTGAGCGTCCAGACTTATCGGTTCGATTGACATCGACCGACGCCTGTTTTAAGAGTGATTGCACAATGCCTGCATAGTCTCCTTGCACGGCCCAGAAGAGAGGGGTCCAGTGCACATTATCTTGATCATCCGGACTGAACGCTCCTCTTTCCACCAGAACATCAACGATCTCCAAGTGTCCGTTCGCCGCTGCAAACAAGAGTGCTGATCTTCCAGACTTACCTCTTAAAGCAATTTCTGTACTTGGTTCATCGAGAAGCATTTGAACAGCATCCAAATGCCCATACTGCGCAGCTACTGTCAACGGTGTTTGTCGATCAATGCTGATGCTGTTCGGGTTTGTGCCGTGCTGAAGCAGCAACCTGATACAACCTGTAGAGGACTTTCTTGCTGCCCAGAATAACGCTTAGACTCTTGTTGTCTCGTTTCTGGAATCTATGTCTTCTATAACCTCGGCAAGCAGCATGACCAAATTGAAGAATGCGGCTACTTCAATCGTCTCAAAGGTATCCGGGAATGAATACTCGATGTTGTTTTTGATCCAATAGAATTTCAACCAATTGGTCAAGGTGCAGCTGGAATTCGCTGTCAGTTGGCAGACGGCCTCTCGCGTAGACTTTGGGGCGGCATCTTCACAAAGCGAGTAATGCTCTGCCCAGTAAGTAGCAGAGTAATCAAAAAACCTGTATTCTTAGGCAATTAGTGTGCAATGTGCCTCTTCCAATCCTTGAGAATCCTTGAAGAAGCTCTCCAAGTCAAGATGATCATCTAAGCCGAGAGGGCCGTCTGAGTCCGTCGTCTCAGAGTCTATAAAAGGCAACAAATGAGGTAGATAGGGAGAGCCACTCTTGATACTCGTCCCTTCCAATACAAACAAATCCGTCTTAAACTCCTCCATGAGAAGATATTGTATGCATGACTGGGACATACTAAGCGCTGCATCCACTAAAGGGACCGCGAGACTGTGCACTATAGTGTCTGCAGAACGGAGTGCGAGGTCTATAAGGTATTCTTTAGCAGATTAGTGTATAAGGGAAACAACGGGATCGTCCTTTGAGCTATGATCCAGTTCCTTGATGCAGATAAAGGAGCCCACGATGTTTTGTAGAGTTGAGCGTATAGATAACTACAAATCATCTACTACGTTGACTGCAGACTTGTGGTTCTGATCAATTGTGAAAGCCATGTTCAATTCCGTTAACATCAAGTACCTCGAGGCTCCAATAAGCAGACGTAGGAACTTCCTAGCGTCTTCTCAATCTCTAGGTAGGATAACACTTAGAAATCTACTATAGGTTGCCTCAAGGTTCTAGGGAAAGGCGTCGATGATCTTTTCGAAATCTCTCTTCGAAGCCCTTGGGCTACTTTCAAGACTCTGCAGTACCATGTTCAACCAGAGAAAACTCTAGTCAGATTTGGTATACAGCGTTTCTTCCAGGTAGTGTTTCATCTCGTCGTTGCATTGGAATTTGTTCACAATCTCACCAACCCTGCTACAGATGACCAACTTCACGTCCTCACTAACAACGATTTAGTTTTGCTCAATTAGAATTCTGTTTCCCATCAACTCCGTGAAATGATGTGCGTCGCCAAGTAAAGGACGGCTCGTTATCAGGAACTTGATGCAAGTACGGCCTTGTCAATATGTGCCCTTGCGCTCGTTTATTAATTGGTCCATAGCCTTTAAGAAACTGTTGCAAGTCCTGGCTTCACACTCATCAATCGCATCCACAATGACTCCAACAGTGCCTAGTGTCAAGTCAGCAGCTACTTTCAGGAAAAGCTCCCAAAGCGCTGGAAAAGAAGTTGCGAGGCTAGGTCCCTCCAGTTCGAATCGACTCTTCACGTGCCTAATGAGTTTTCAATGTCGTTGTAAGATTTGGTAAAGGATGCCTCAAAGTATAGCGTTTGCGTCTTGTTGTGATTTGATTTTGTCGTCGCAGAAAAAGAAGAAAACTTGAGGTTTAGGAGCGGTAGCATGGTTCAGTCTCATGTGATCTGTCAAATAAGCAGACAGCATCGTTTTGCCACAGCCTGGTTCGCCAGTAACCCAGAGTAATCTCGTTTCCTCAGCTTTGGTCCAGTTGATGTATGCAGGGTGGCTCAGAATCCAGCTGCAGGTCCCTTGTACTGGCATAGGTAGTTGTGCTTTGTATTCTGTGAGAAAGATGGAATTAAGGAGGACCATACAGGATTTCTCTGTTTCGCTCAAGGCTATCAGATCACTTAGCTCGAACTCTTTGTGTTCTTTCATCATTACATACAATAATTAGAGGAGGTCCAGTCCGTTTTCGCTGCCATTTCCCTGCTCAAGAGAGCTGTTTTAGCTAATCAACTAATTGCCTTCAGAGCGAAGCTATACCCATCGTCTGTTACACTCCCAAAACGGCACATAGTCCTATGATTCGCAAAAAGTGGTATAATGTCCTCGCCTAGTATCTCCATAATAGCTGAGTGCTGATCAACAACCTATTTAGTAATAAATCAGTCACCACTGCATAGAGAAGCAACCTCTGTAGATAGTCATACCAATTCAGACAGCCCTGGTATCTTTTCTGTCTCGTAGAAGGTTACGATCTCCAAGTCTTTCAGACGATTTCGAGAGGAGATAGCGAGGTCGCTCAGCGCTTAAGAATTAGACCCTAGAGTGGTGAGAAGGTCATCTCTTATTGTCCCTGCTATATTGGCTGTTTGTGATGCGCGTAGACACATGTTAACTACTTTACCAACAACTTTACCAAGATCAGCTCCTTTGGAGCCACGGTGTGGAGTTCCAAAGAAAATAATGGCTGAAGTAGCATTGAGTATGTCAGCATACTGGCGACCATCCTCATGCGCTAACACAAGAGCCTTGAGAGAGATTAGAATATTGTTCCACCAGTAATGTCGGTCTGCTCACCTGCTTACAGACTATGCCCCCAAGACTATAACAGATAAATATGATTGGACGGTCTCTGCCTCCCGAAACGGCTGCTAGAGACATCAAGAGATATCGGGAGTAGTCTCGTAATGTGGCTACGGAATTGCTCCAGAACAATTCAGATAGATACCCGTAGGTGAACACCCATAACCCAGGAAGGTCGTTCAGAAGCAGCTCCCGAAGCCATAGATTTCCATTCTCGTGTTGCCATGTTGTATAAGCGTCTCCGTTTAGACCATGTATAGCCACGATATCCACTCCTACAGACTCTTTCGAATCGTTAAGCGGTACATCCTCACTAAGTAGAAACAGGCCGTAGGTTTTAGCGCGTGGGGAAGCCAATACTGAAGTCTGTAAAGGGGGTCTCTAAGATGTCTCACTGTCAGTGCGTTCACGGCCCGCCTGGAAAATCTGGTCGGCTACTAACTTCGGGGACTAGCTCCTTTCGCGTAAGCTTCCGTAGCTTCTTCCTGAAACCTAGCATCACGCTCGCTTTCAATGTTTTGTAGGCATCTATGACAGTTGACCTGCGCCTAGTAATGTGGAATAAAGCAGCTTTAGGCTGTCGCTGGCCTGGGCTGTTGGCGGAAGGAAAGTCGTGTCTTACTTCCCCCCAGACGTGCATGACCGTGCCGCAGCTGTCCCTCACTAGTCTTGCTTCATCGCGGCCGGTTCGCCCCTAATTAGCACTAAGACATGGCGATCTATCAGAGGCCTAACCAACCATAACCTGGCACTAAGCGCTGTCTCAGGCTCGAGCCTTTTCTTTTGACTCACTGCAATTATCAGAACAATTTCCGCGAATATCAACAAAATTGTATTCGTTTCTGCTATGCGACTTCGCGATGCGATTCTACCTTTAATGGCAAGAATATGGTTGAACCATGCTTCATATATCAGTCCTCCGAGAGTGCTTCGATGAGTCTGTGCGTCGGAAGGACCGTGCACAGGCACGTGCGCCGAGCAGGAAAACCGGCTAAACTTGATCATGGGCTCACGCAAGACATCCACCCTTTGACACCGCACAACATCGGTATCATGGCAACAAACCAGTTAGGTGTCGCAGTCCTAGGAAGAGTCTTTTGTCCGACTGACTGGTGTAGACCAACGAACAAAAGCTTGGCGATTGTCGGGTCTGGAGCCGACACGGCCATAGGAAACCTGATATACAGGGTGACTCATTCTTCCAGATCGTTTACCACAGATCATCTAACTTATTAATAATAGTTCAGAGGCATAGATTTGCCCATGCTCGCAAAGCTGCAGGAGAAGGGCATTAATACCTACGACCATGCCGTAAAAGAACTGAGGGACTTGAATGAAGAGCTGTACTTCTATACCCCAAGCCACAGAGTCACTGTGAATGGTAGGTCTATTCCCAACCAATGGGACCGCGCTGTAAAAGGTGCATCACTGATGCCATATCTAGAAGATCAGATCTCGACTGTCGATGGCTTTCTTCTCGTCATAACACCGCCTCCTCAAGCATCAAATACATATTTCTCTTCGAATACGGTCAATCGGCTGAAGGAATCAGCGCCGCTTTTCGCGCAAAAGAAGGCGGTCGTTTTGATAAGAACCCCGTATGCTGTGTCCGAATACTTCCTTCAGCCTTTGTACAAGCCCGCTGACATTGTTCAGTGAGAATCGTGACTAGTCGGAGAGAATGTACAATGATTCGGTCCAAAATGTTAAATCGGAACTTCAGCGTCTTGAAATTGCGACTGGGAGGTAAGATATTGATTTCCCGAAGTTGGAAAATTTCTCATACAGCACAGTATTCACCTGATCCCAAGCAATCATCAGGATGAGAATTTTATTGGACTCTCTTCCAAAACCCCCTGGTACACCAACGCTACATTGATAGCTGCACTCGATGAAGTCTTCTCGTAGGCTGTCTCAGGGTCGACGTGTCGCAGGCTTTGGGTCCGTTCAGAAAGCAGAAAACTGCAAGCGCTTTTGATGATTCTTGGCTGCGTCGTGTAGCCCGGAAAGATGTTTCGCAGGAATCAAAAGCGTTCGCGGGTATTCATTTATTGCATTAGGTTGAAGGAAACTATGTCACGTTTCTAGGTCATACACTTTTGTGTCTGGGGTTGACGTCTTTGCCAGGACATGATCTGCTGCACACAACCGTAAATTTTCGTCGTGGACGAACGTAGTGTGAGTCAGCAGCAAATGCGTCAGACGATCGTGGAATATGACTGTGAATTGTTCTGCCCAGTGACGCATCGCAGAGCTCATCAACTACAATAGATTGCGCTAAGCTACATCAGTACAAGTGTCGAGATTCCTCGAAGCCCTAAGAAGGTGTTGTCTGAATCAACGATCGAATGATTGTGTGCGGTCCCCTGGCACCAAGCAGGATTCTAGCGTGAGCCGCGCGCCTAGCGTGGAGAGACCCAATTGAGGCGGACATGTTGTAGAGGAGCATCAAATCAAACGCGGACAACCACCTTTAACCAGACAATCAGCGCTCATCACACCGGCGGCGCTTATCGAGATGCACTTGATCAAGATCAATTAAGGACTTACTTAAGCTATCTCAGTCATCTAACTTGGGTCCAATATCATAACTACAACACCACACGCATTGTTGTGATGGCCGACCCTATTGATCTTGCTTCTAGTGTCGTGACACTAACCACAGTCGCCCATAAATCATGTCTCATGCTTCACGCAGCTGTGGGAGCGAACGAGGATGTTGAGGTACGAAATCTCCTAGAAGACAAAGCCAACCCTGCTTCAAATGCGCCGTTCTTTGGAGAACCTCTGGCTACAGCGGCGTCGTCTGGATCTTTGCCGATGGTAAAGCTTTTGCTTGCCTACTGGGACTGGGAAACTTTCGAACATCTTGCTGGACTTCGCCTCATGAATGCCATCGAGGTTGCCGCTTCTGCTGGTCATGAGTGCGTGCTGACCAAGCTGCTCGAACACAAAGACCGCATTGCTAGGTGTATATACGATGATGCTGTCATCCGCATGGTCAGGAGTAGCCAGCCAGCATCTGTGGAGCTCTTGTTGGACCGCAGACGAGCAGACCTTACTCCAGCAACGAAGAGCAAATTTTGGGAACTCCTCCTGCGAACAACTGCAGAGTGTAATCAACAGGTGTTGCTACAAGCCATTCTGCTAGGGTTCAAAGAGACATGGGAGAGACCTCGCTTGTGACAGCAATGAACGATGCATGTCTGGAAAACCACGGTCAGTCTTTTCAGATGATGGCATCTCACCTATCCGTTACCGGCCCTACACGTTGCGCGGACAGTCTATTCTGGGCCGCAAATTTTGGTAACATAGAGGTCATGGAAAGCTTTTTAGCAATCCTACAACATGACAGACGCGCTGTGCTTCTGGCGCTCGCCGGCACGGTGTCTGCAAAAGCTTGCGAAGTTGTCATGCACCTGCTCAAAGTTGCAGGGGATAATCTCATCAATGATGATGTCCCAACGCGCTTCACTGATATTGCCCGTCTCTCACTTCCAGACGCTTTCGACCACATAGCGATCAAGCCGGCCGGACCGCTCTCAGGATCAGCCCAAGTAGAGAAATGCGCGCAGCTACCAGAGCGGGTAGGCTTGCCGACGTTATTACCGTCTTACAAAGTATAAGAGCCCACCATCTGACCGATAGCTTAGTCAACATTTCTGGTGCGTTCAGCGATGCGGCCAAGGCTAACCACCTCGACGTTCTTCTTTTTCTGTGTGAGAATTGGACGCCTCATCTAGTGACCTCTTGCGAGAAGTCACCAGCTGTAGCACAGATGTTTATGAACTTTGGTTGAGACATTCGTTTGACTGATCAAGATTTCTCTCTCCGATCGCTTCGGAAAGAAGCCCCATGCTAGCAATAGACAGTGTGACATCCCTCCTCACATAGCGACCCACCCTATGAGGCGAGCCAAATTCCTAGCACCATCATGGCTGGTTAGAACGGAATGTCTACAGCATCTGCTCTGGAGTGAGTACGCATGCAGCTGGAGTCATTAGGAGACGTGGACAAAGATCACTAATTGGAAGCATACGCATGTCCTTTCTAGCCCGCAATGCAATTATCGAAGATGCTTGAGCTGTGCCAAGCGTCTGTGCTCGCTTAGTCATCAATTTTCTGAGTAAACTAATTTCATCCTTAGCAACGTTTGTTAACCGCAACGCCCCACCCATCCCGAAATCACTTGATACGTCCCGAATTTCACATGGTCGTTCGTCCGGTCCGTGTTCTCCGAGCTGCGAGGATGATGTCCACGCTTGTTGGGCAGAGTGGTCGCGAGTACAACCTCCAAAAAGTGCTCCAACGGCACCCCAAAAAGCCTGAACTTAGCGTCTGCCTTGCGCTGTGAGTTCGAAATTCCCGCGTATCTATCAAACTGGGTGTAACTGACCGCTTTTTCTAGCTGTGAAAAGACGCCCTACGTCGTGAAGCCCGTCCCGGAGTCCATCTTGGAGCATTTGCAAGAGTTTCGAGCCGAATTTGAAAGTCATCCCCGTCTTCGCATTCATGTTGACAAGATTGAAAAAGAGAGCATTCTCGTTTACGAATACTTCAAAACCGATTTGCTCGCATTGGTAGAGAACTACCCTCCTCTTCCGTTGACAGTGAGGAAAAAGATTTTGCAGGAGATTGGAAACACACTTGCTGAAATGCATGAGAAGAATTGGATCCACCTAGGTACAAAACTGCCTGCATGCCTCAGCTTCGACAAAAGCTTTGCTAATTTGACTATAGACGTGAAACCGGACAATATCTTCCTGAATTGGTACGTGGACTCGAGCGACGAATTTCACCTTGGGAAAGTAGTTTTGGGCGACATGGACTGCGCGTTGAAATTAAAAGGCGAAAAACTACTGAACTACAAGATTGGAAACGTCATGTGGCGTAGTCCGGAAGGACAGCTGGGAAGAGGAGTAGGAAAGCCTTCTGAAGTCTTCTCCTTTGCTCTCTTGGTAAGTCTTGTGCTCAGTTAGACCTGCACAAGCTTATTGACTGCCCAATCTAGTGTCTCTACGTCATCACAGGGATGCAGTCGTTGCACTTCGACTTCGCAGAGCTTGACACTGAGCCTGAGGTGGTAGTTTTGTTCAAACTACTTTCAACCTTCGGCCCGCTACCAGATGCACTTCTAAAGCATGTCGACGATGCGAAGGCTGGTGAGCTCCTAACCGATTTATGGCAGGCAGTGAAGGAGAACGACGTGAATGGAGATTTCGCGGATTGGACAGAGGACGTGTTTCCTAACCTCACGGACGAAGCAAAGAGGTTGATCTTAAGGATGACCAATCTCGATCCAGCTAAGAGAGCAACGATGTCAGAGATTGTCAAGGATAGTTATTGGGTCGAAGATAAGAAGTCTTGAGTGACAGTTGGCGTACAAGGTTCAGCGTGTCAAAATTGAAGCATAGCATTGCGGTGGCTTTTCAACAAGCTTATCTGGTCATGGCAGCCCCTAGGTCTTTCCTTGTTTCGCTTCTATGTAACAGCTTTCTATCATGGCATCAACCAAAAAACTCAAATTCTGACTCTAGATCGTTCAACTTCCTCTTATTGTCAAGAGTGTCTTGCTGCTCGACATGCCATTCTCTCCTAGAGCTCGCTGGTCCTGAGGAGTGGATCTAAGGATAAACATGTTTGGTCGTGATATGGTTGCCGTTGGAGTCTTCGAAGACAGTGGTGAAGTGAGACTTGCTGTCACTTTCGCTTGGATGCTCTTTTTCGCTGAGGTCCGTTGTTAGCCTTGTCAAGCACAATGATGAGAGGAATATCTCTTACGCTAAGATCGCAATAGCAGCACTAGCAGGGACGTCAGGGGCCTTCTTTACAGCCTCGCAAAACTCGTCTTGCACGCCCTGCGCCAAGAAGCTACGCTCCCAAGAGGAAGTCTTGGTAGCATACTTGACTTGGATTGCTTTGCCGCCTGCATTGACAGTCTTGATCACTTTGCTAGAAATGACTTTGTTGTAGGACATGTTGCGAAGAGAATACTTGTAATGTCGATGGACAGATGGTCTCGGAAGAGGTCGTCTTGGTTTGCGGACGTGGATTTCAGTTGCTGGTCTTTGTTGTGTCTTTCGATTCTGTAGCTTGATTCACCATACGTTCGTTGGCATCTCTTTTATATTCAACCAGTGCGGCTGATTTATCATCCGCCTTGTGTATCAAGCTCTATCGTTTGCATGATTTCTGACAACAACTGGCCCATCACTAAGATTACTGCACTGTTCGTCACCGGCGGTAAGGCGCGATTGAGGCACAGTCATCGGCGCCGAAGATCTGTTGGTTCCAATGTACTCAAAATAGCCACTACAAGCGGACAGCCAGCGTGACGCTGGAAGTATGTTCACTGTACTAGCACTACATTCCGTTGGTCAAAGCAGTGGCACGACGAGAGGATGTCGTTTCACACATTGATGTCCCGGAAGGGAGATGATTATGCCGTTTATGTTGTTCTACCAAGGTACTCTAGAAGTCCTCTGAGCTTGGCCCAGGCGCCTCCAAGTAACCCTGATCGTAATCACACGCAACACCATTTGTATGGTACCGATAAAATTACTGGACGAGTTGATGATACGAACAATGTGAGGCCAATGTTCCATGCAAAAGAAGCTGCAAGAAGAGCTTGGTGATCACCTCTAAGCGCTCGGTCCGGAGCGGATGATTTTAGAAGCGCCACTAGTGGCATGCTCAAGCAAGTATCCTTCAGAAGCTGAAAATTTTGTTCCATTCATAGTTTAGCTTTGACCGATCGGTGCCGCGCACAGACCTGGAACATGAAATCCGTTCACAACCCACATAGTAATCGTCACCAAAACAACGAAAACATGACATTTTGTAATAATCTGAATACATAAAGGTGTCAAACTACATACAATTGACCTATCGCGAGCTTTCTGTGGTGTTTTGACGTTGCTGAGTCACCCGTGGAAGCTGTTCTTTCCACCCGTCCGTATGATCCTCCGCACCTGCTCTGGAATCGCGTCCACCCAACGATTGATGACCTCTACAGGCAGGTCGTCCTATGAAGCTGCCTACTGCTTCTCGTACTGCTTAGGCGTACAAGAAGGAGTGAATTGCTTCGTCACGTGCTGCTGAATCCACGGCCAAGCGTGCTCAATAGCATTTGCCTCAGATGAGTGACCTGGCCACCACAACCTATCGACGTGCTCAGTAACAAGATAATCTCGAGAAAGTCGAGAATTGTGTGCGGGAGCTCCGTCTTGTTGTAATACGCACTTAATTCCACGATTTTTGAGGTTGTGAATCCATGGAACGACCTTCTTGAGAGCACCTTCGCGGTGACGGTACCTATCAACTCCTCCACGCCCGCGATCGCCACGCTTATAGTCCATTGTACTTGGTACATACTGCTTCTTCCTGGTGTTGTAGCGTCCGTTAATGTCACTCTCGCTGATGCCTTGGAGCGCTTGTTGTGCGTAGATTTGTAGCTTATTATCGCGGGTTTTTTTATTAACGTTGAGCTGTGCAATATGGACTTCTGCAGCTGCTTTTTCTTCCTCCGTCTCTTGGTAATAAACGTGACACGGGCCCTTGAAGTTGTACCGAAAACAGGCGTAGAACTGCAGGCAACAGTCCTTGACGTTCCGATTGTGTTTGACGTCGTCGTTGTATTGCTCTCCTTCACAGCACCACGTTTGTATCATGCCTCGCTCGTCACCTATACGGGCCGGAGTCTCATCAGTAAACACTACCTCGTGAAAGTTGAAGCCTTTGTTGTCATACTCCTTATCTTGATCGGGGTTGTGAGCGAGTGCCCACTTATATCGTTGCTCTTCTTGTTCAGGTGTGAGTGAAGGTCTCTAACCTGGACGTCGACGCGCATAACCAGCCTCGTACATGACGTTTTCAAACGTTGTTATACTTATTTCAGGTACAACTTCTTTGAAATCGCCATTTGCAATAGCCTGCCAGCTCTCGTTCTCACGCGATTCGCGTGAGGAAGTTGCAATGTGGATAATAGTTTCCTTCTGTTTCCGCGTTAACAACCTACTCCTTCTACGTCCTAGATCGTTCTTGTAGAGTACTTCGTCCCATAAAGCTATAGTCTTATTCTCTGCCTTCTTCTCTATCCTCTTGAGCAGCTCTGATAAGGTGCCTTGTGAGCGTCCTATTGTGGTTGCAAGTTGACGTTGTGTAGCATAGTCTCCTTGAATTGCCGTGAGTGCACCTACTGCAAATGCCCGCGCAACACCACTCAACTCTGTTCAATTAGTCTTAGGAGCTTGGATAGTCTTGTACTGCTTGTACTTGAAGTTTTTACGACGCGATATTAATAATGCAGGCATTATTGTGGTTGATTTGCTATACTACAAAGCACGGGTCGCGCATAAGTTAGTGGGGACGATTGCGCACGGGCTCCTCGATCGATCAAAAAAAACGAGCCCCTTCGTACGTTAGGCGCTTTTTAAAGTCCGGTTTTGAGTACCTACGACATCGGTCAGCAGCACTAGCGTCAATCGATGTTGTACTGTCGACTACCGACTGTCCACCACCGAAAACACGACAAACAGCGAGTATTCAACTTTTGGAATTATCGTTACAAAAAGCATCACAAACACCTGCCAGAGGTCGCAACGGTCTCTACAGGCCATCGCGCGTCCCCCCGCGTTGTTTTGGTCCCTGTAGAGCCGCTGTTGCGGCCCTGGTAGGCACAGACATACAAAATCTGCGAGCAAGCTAATTACTTAATATGACACGCTCACCAAACGCAACGGCAGCCATCTAGGCGAGACACAGCGACGCGAGACGCGACGACGAAGCCCAGACATATCTCGAGCATCATGATAACAATACACACAACAGTCACTGATGGGCTTCCTTGCTAGCCCATCACCATCCGACAAAGTCTGCAACGTCCCGCATCGACGAGCCCTCGGGCTGAACAGCATCACCTCTCACGCGAATCACTTCACAGATATTCCGGCATGCTACCATCGGTGCCACAACACACTTACAGATCACCAGACAGCCTCGTCCACTGTCGCCCCACGTGTTGAGGGAGTGGTGACCCTTCGACACACCCGACAAGGTCTGAGGAGATTCGCGCGAGAGCTCTCATGCTCAGTAAGCTCGACGACTCGCACGAGTGGAGCATCGCTCTTGTTAAGCCGCGTTGCGACGAAATGCTGCTGCCGATGCGCCCGGTGGCAGGTCACGCCACAGAACACAGCCGCATAGGAACCTAGTGGACGGCATCACAACACTTAATTACCAATTTTTGTCAGCAACCCAATATAGTTAGAGCCTCTCGTAAAAGCAGGAGGCTTTTCTGCACCGTCTTCTCTGCACGACGGACCTCTCGGCATCTACGATCCCGGTATTAAAATATTTTCTAATAACAGGAAGTCTATCCCTGCTACTTATACTACATCTGTAGACCTCCGAATGATTAACAGAGCTGTTCATTCACGAATAGACAGGGGTGAACTGGTGAGGGGTAAACTAATGGCCTTGGGAAAAAGATCGACAACGTGACCGATATTGACGGGATTCTATTCGGAGACTACCGTCCTATAGTAACGGTAGCTAAAGATCTTTGTGTATGAATTGCAGATTTATAGAATCGCGAAAGGGACAAGCCGGAGGTCCGAGGTGCAAAACCGTCCCACCTTGGGGTGCGTCCCATAACCCAGGGATGGGACATTACTATGTTGTTGTTATGTGCCAAACTCATGTCGTACTAGAGGGCAGAGCAGGCTTATACACGCATCGTTGGGGCCTCGTAATCGTAGCAGTACCCCTGCTCAGTCTCCTAGGGTCGAACAGTTGTGACGTCAAGATAGTCTGGCGCAGACCATGATGCGGGAGCGTAATTCAGCGCTCAGTCCAAAATCCTGGTCTAGGATGTAGGACACCCAATTACTCAGCATACTTGGTATCCAGAAGTGATCCTCCACGGGTGCTAGAAATATCTCGCTCGCTTTCCGTAACCATCTGTCATCTGCTTTTTCTTTCATGGCCATTCTCCGGGCGTGATGGAGGGAAAGACAGATCAATGCGTAGTCCCACCCTGACTTACTAACTGACTGATACTCATAAATGGCAATATGTATCAGATTGTGCCAGGAATCTACTGCGCAATGCCATTGTATCAAGTCTGTAGCCTGTCGATGTTGATTTTGTGCGAGGAGAACAAGCGTCCGAACGAGTCTTTGCTGATCATTTGTTGTAGCAAATGGGCCGGGGCCAAAGTATTCTTTAAGTCGCAATAGAACGGCATCCGACTCAACGTACATCCCAAGACAGGAGCAGACGTGGGAGAACGATAGTAATAGTGTTCTGTAATACGTGTCTTGTAGAGGTATCACGTCCACGTTTGTTAGCGATAAGCCTGATGTTTTGGCGTTCGCCTCCAACACGTCGTAGGCGAGCCGAAACTGCTGTTTCTCACAATACACGTCGCTTAAGCTTGCGACCGTGTACAGTTGAGCACGAGATATGGTTGACGCAGATAGCACAGATTTTGGATCACGGATAGCGTGATCTAGTCTTCCCAGGTGCCTGTGAGCGATGGCTCTAGCAGTGACTATCTTTTGCTCGGCTCTTGTTTCGTACAAGCTTACGCCAGGAATCCACTGTGAGCCCACCGAGATAGCATCTGTGAACTTTCTTTGTGAAATGTATGCCCATGATAATGAGCTAAGAAGAAGTCCATAGATTGCGTTGAGAAGGGGGCTCAGCGTGTAGCTAAAAGGCAGCGTATCCAGAAATTTGCCGATGATGAATAGAGCCCTATCCGGCTGACCTGTACATCGCAGAACAAAACTGTGTCTGTATACGAGGTATGCCTGATCACTGATAGGAATGTCCCCTGGTCTAGCGATGCTTGCAACTTGAATGGATCTGATCTTCCAACAATTGTCTGCAAATTTGGAAGCTTGTAAAAGAGCTCGCACAATAACTGGTGTTGGACAACCGTCGATGAATCCAACAGAATTTTCCACGAGCATGCGGAAAAGCGGCAATGCTCGTACCGCATATCGTCGTAGACTAAATCAATATCAGCAGCGACACTGTAGAGCGTGCCAATACTACTTACTTGCTGAAATACTCACAACAGCCAGTCAAGAAGAAGCACAGCAAGTTCATTACGCGAACCCATTCCTGAGGTCTTGTTGCGAACTTGGTGTTGACCCGATAGTTGACCGTTGAGACTATAGTTGGCTCAGCTAGCTCTTTGTTCCAGGTTTCCTTAATTAACCCAACCGCCTTGCAGTAGCGAAGAAAGCGGTCTATCTGTTCAGGATCTTTCAGGATATCAACGATGCCCATATCTAAGCCAAGTACTTCTACACCAAATTGCTCCGTGCTCCCGTCCAAGGCCCACTGATTTCTTAGCTGGCCTGCAGCTGTAAGCTGTGATCTGGAAATTGGATGGTCTACTGAGGAACAGAGATGAAGGATCGAGAACAGGCTTGCTTGCGTTGAGTCCAAGTAACCAAGCGACTGGCAGAGTCTCTCAAACCTGTTTTGGAATAAGCACAACACATGGGATACTTACTATCAACGTACCTTAGAGTAGCGTCTGATTTCATCATCTGGTTAGGGACAGACCATCTTGATAAGGAGGCAATGTACGGTGAACTCTTTATCTCTTGGAATCTCGAAATCAAGGCACCTTGATCTGTTTGGAGCTCTTTATATGTCGAAGCTTGGAATGGGTTGCAGGCGCATCTAATAGCAAGGTTAGTAGAGGTTATAGGACTATTAAGTAAACTTACATCGTGCTACAATAGTTGTAGCCTCCGCAAGGTTCCAATCTAGCTCTAGTAGTCTTCGTATGAGGTTTTGATGCAACCATAATACACCTGCTAGAACACGATTTGCGTAGTCTCTTTGTAGGGATAGAGTTTCGCACACAACTTGTGTTAAAGTATGGCTCGCATCAGGGTTGAGGTCTCGCAGGACAACAACACAAGAGAGGAAACAAAACAGTTCAATGCGGTCGTTCATACTGCTGGCAAACTCTGTACTCGTCCTCTTTTTAGCTAATTCGAGTGCTTTCTGCTGTATGCTGGCTACTGTTGCTGCAGCGCACATGCAAGGGTGCTGGAGACTGATAACTTCATTTGAGGTTTGGCCGATGTCCTGGATGATGGCTTGCAACACCGGTACCGTTGTTGTTTGGCGTATTCGCTTATAGTGGTGTGTGTGCGTTTCACTGTCGCCAGACCACGTTCGTTTCTTCCTGTTATCGCTGCTTGCTCTTTTAGCAGTACCTGCTACTAGGTCCATGACATTGATCTGTTAGTGTGTACCTTAGCCTGTAAGTTGCTAGCAAAAGTTTTGTCGATGTAGGAAGGACGACTAATTATACTAGGTGATTATTTCGCTAACCCCTCACTACGTACAGCGGTACAGGGGGATAGATCCTCCGGCTGATAGCTCACGGTGATCTATTGAGAGTTTAGCCAATCCAGAACAGCACACCATTCTCTTAGAGCTTTTGATTTGCTGAATGCACGCCGCGCTGGCACACTGTATCAGCCCGCAGTATGCCGTGTCGTTCTGAACCGTCCCGCCATCCACCTTGAGCCGCGCTCACCGCTGCTATAATGTCGATCACGAGACATGCATACTCGTAAGTCCGAGAGTCCCGAGGTCACGTTGTTTGCCACTAAAGATCGAGGCGCAGCTTCAAAGAGCTCTAGACTACACGTGACTCTCAGATGCAAGATCATGTCTTTCTGAGGCTCGGCCGAAAAACAGGAAAGGTGTCATGTTTCAAGGCCTTAGCGATGTGCAATCTCATCCAATAGTCTTCGACGCATCAGCCCACAAGGGCGCGTGATGGACCTTGGCAATGATGCCTTGCGCTAGCTTTCGGGAAAGCAAGAAACGCAACACGAATTTCTATCCAATTACTCTTTTTGCCAAGCACGACTATGAGCTTTGATATTTAAGTGATTTCCTCTCAATAATGCTGCCTAAGAAAAGAATTTACTAAACACCACTAATTAGATCTTTTCTAGACATTCTTTAAAATCGATTTTGGAAAGTAGTAGAAGACACGAACAATAAGTCAAATTACATTTTCAAGAAACCGACATGTTTAAAGCAAAAGGAGGATGTCGAGCCTATCTAGTCGGTACAGCAGCTGGCAGAGCATCGGTAGTACCACTAAACCACCGATGCGATCTACGTTTTTTTCCATAAAAACACCTCCATTAAAGAATTCATATCGGAAGGTTTAATATTCAATTCCCCTTCTTACTTCTGCTTCCACACAGTCGCTCTTGAGCCTTAGGCAGCGCTTATTGGTGATTCTGTTAATACTGCAGCTTCGTAATTTCGTTACGGAGGTTGTGCGAATTAAGATTTCGAACACTAAAGTAAGGCGCTGCCAGCCCACTAAACACCCTTATTATGCGGAAACAGCAGTAACGTACTCCACAAGCGAGCTGGCCACCCAAGCGAGCTGGCCACTTTTGCCAAGACCACACCAATACTGCACCTACTTTACAACATTACAGCACACAACTATAATTGTCAGATGCTCGTACTGTGAGCCAGAGTATGTTCTTAACAAGATCTTAGGTGGTATGATGATTTATTAATAATTGTGGCGATGGTGTCTGCGTCCGCGTCGTGCTAATTGCTACAGGATTGAAGTGGGGGGGAATTAGCGCTGTTCGCGGCCGCCTGTGTGCGGGCCAATCAGGAGTTGCCAGGTCTCGCTTAATTGACCTAGCAACTGCTGATTGGCTGCGCGACAGGTCCCTGCTTAATTGCGCAGATCTAACCTCTTACTACTTACTCTTATCTAACACACCCCCTTTAGCTTAGAAACTCTTTAAGCTAACTATTTATATGTATATAAGGTCCTTAATTTATCCTTAAATCCTGTCTAGAGGCACACTATTTAGCACTTCTGTTAACTCCCTGTTTACTAGACTAAGTTACTAAAGGAAACCTTCCTACTTGTTTACTAGGAGTACCTTTGTAAGTCTGTCTACTATTATGCTTACAGACTAGACATATTCTATAATAATCTTTCTAGCAGCCACCTCTAATTAGAGCTAGTAGTTGTAGATATCTACATACTGAAGTTTAGTATATAGTTACAATACTTCCTTAGTAACTAACGTACCCCACGGGCGAGTCAGACACACGGGCGAGTCGGACACTTTTGCCAAGACCCTACTAAACCTCACCCTATTATGGCCCAAAACACCACACTCTAGCGCTGCAAGGTATAGTATAGCTTAGAATATTATTTAGTAACTACTTCTGTATTATTCTTGCACATTTACGCATTATGCCTAGTCTAATTGCACCATCTACAGCGTTGTTAGGAGGGCTTACCTACTTTAGCGTGCACCTGCTTCTTTAACTTCTTTCCATCACTATATGCCCTAAACTCCTTTAGAGCTGCTATCTGCTGCCCTTCCTTAACTGTAAGGGTCCCTTCCTTCTAGATTTGCTTTCTTTTGCGCGATTTACGTTCTGTGGCAGCTGCTAGAGCTGCGTGAAGCTCAGCGTTCTCCTGTTGCGCCAAAACTAGCTTGTGCGATAGATTCGCTACCCCTTTGCGTAGTGCTCAAGCGCGCTTAGCACAGAATTAGGTGAGCTACCCTGCTGCTTCTTATACTTCTCTTAAATTAGAGTTAATTGCAACTAAAGTTCTAGGGTATTGCTAGAGGTTTGCGACTGCTAGGGCTTAT